GTGCGTTCTACATAGTCTCCCTGAACACAAGACCAAGTTGCGACAACGAGGTCAACCCACTTCTAAAATTTGATTGTATTTTGCCATCATAGGTTTCACGTAACGCGTAATTTCGTCTTTTGGGGCTGGCTAAAGGCTAAATCATTTTCATTTTTGTGCACTATTTTGGTGCTACCTGCATTTCATTTAGTTTTTAAAAATTTCTTTTTGACCTGCTCTTTCTACTTTGCGGATTAATTACACAAAAAATAATACACTTCGTGCCATTATTTGCATTTTTGTATATAAGCAGAATTTCGAGACTACTATTTTTGAGTAAGAATGTGCATGACATATTGGATTTTACCATTGCTCTTATATATAACTTTTTAGTGCGGCAGCATATTTCAAGGAGTTACTTTTATCTTTGTTCAATAGTAATGTATTATAGCAATAAATATTTAGGTATTTGCAAAAAATATGACTACAATTCGTACCATTGCGTGTTATGTTCTCTTTAGTCTATTACAGCCTATAGTTTATTCTGTACATATGACATTTTTTAAATTAAGCATATCAGTAAAAATGGGTACGCATGTCTTTTGTATATTTAACAAGCTTCTTCCGACCTTATTGTCACCACTGCTAATGTGGAATTAAGGTATTTATGAATTTTCCAGCTCCAAAGTTATTATATGATTGCACTCAGTTGCTCACCTTCTAGTGATGCTCCTGCCTTATGCACGAAGAAGCAGCATATTGAGAAGTGGCTTCGGTACAAGCGATGCATGGGGGAGAATACTATCATTATCATTCAGACGAAGAGCTGGTCGGGCGATCAGGCTTGGTAGAGGTTAAGATGCTATAGTCGGAAGGGATTTCTTCTTGTTGTTGGGCCGGATTTTCAACCTGCGAGGCAAGGTGTTACTGTAGAACCGAAGAGAGCGGCGCGCGGTACCAACAAACTAACAGGCTGCCGCATTGTCGATAACAGTATCATTGCCAAAACCGATTAAGCTCTGAGCTTTTCTATCCTACATGACATGCATTATCTGAAATTATTTAGTTTTTGTCCGATCTCAGATAGCTTGTGTATTTTTTCATTCAGGTTGATTTAACTTTTTTTAACTAGTCTATGTTCTATTTGCGATTTCAATTTTTCTACAACTTGATGAAAGCCTTCATTTTTCTTTCGACAGGCATAATTTTAACTCGACTAGGACCTGCAGTCCTGGCCTCGGGCAGTGAATATCGACTGACCTCTTGGCTCAGCCATCAGGAAGACTTGCACAGGATAGTTCTTTATGTTTGTGACCCTTACCGTGGTTCGGCTTGGAATCATCGCTGTATCCGTCAGGCTGACTGTGTGCTTGTCCTTGCCCTTGCTACTACAGGAAACCCTGATCGGCCTACTGGTCTCGAGACTGCACTTAATAACGATCCAACCAAGGCGAGTCTTTCTGGAGTCTTGACCATTCAATGTATCCATTATCTTGTCTGAATTCGCGTGCTCTCAAGTAATTCTGAACCAGCATATACACTTGTATTTTCTGTTTATCACCACTGACAAGTGTATTCAGGCCTTCTCTGCTTTTAATAATGACTAATGGCATTAGTACTTTCATGATTAACTCATATTCAGTCATGTTTTTGCAACTTTTAGAAGTTTACTTTGGGTGCATTTTGTGTTTTCTTATGTTTGTGCTTTTTTACATTTCAATAAGTTTCGTGTTCCGGTGCCATTTAAGTTTTGTAGTGGATAATAGCTGGAACCCATAAAAAATTATATTTAACATTAATTTGGTTAACAAACAAGGTTTTTTTCTCCCCCTCTCATAGCTTTTAGTTCTGTAGCCGTGATAAAGTTTAACCAAATCATTTATTTACTATTGGCTGCATAATAAGCGACGCAGTAAATGATATTGGTTTA